TATTTCAGATTTTGTAAGAAGAGAAGTGTGTTGCCACATCCGGAAATAAAGCACTATTTCCTCGCTCCAGGTTATTGCCGTTCGATCAAATAGAAAAGTTTTAAGTTTTATAACAATTTGTCGGTTAAGGACAGAGACTTTCATTATATCTTATAGCCTTTTATAGTCTTTTAAAATAAAATTCTTCAAGTATTATATTGTAATATGGAATATTGGTGGCTATAGTCTTGCCTCGTTGGACCCGTGCTCACGATTCGTAGGATCATCGCTCAGCATGCATTAATTCGTCAGTAAAAACAAATGCAAATAATTTTTGTTTGATCTAGTACCAGTACTGCAAATATAAATTTAAAATAAAATGAGTGCTAATAAAAATCTGAAAGGTGTCAGATTTTAAATTACTTCCAAAGGAGCTTTTTTAAGCATTTTATCTGTTAACTTTATTTATTAAATATAACGTTCTTCGCACTTAAACTATACAATAAGATACATTCCGCAAGAGAAGAAGAGGAAGAATGACCTTGCCTGTTTGCATTAGCTGTACATAAGTCACATGATCTCTGAAGTCATCTGCATTGTTTGTTTACAAAAGGTATACATAAGTCACGTGATCAGGTCATCGGAATGTATCTCATTCAGTTCAAGAGCAGTATCACAAAATAGTTTTAAACTGAGCATATCCCCCCATTTAGAACTTCTGACACAGAGTCTCACGCGCTGAAGATTTTTTTTTTTTTTTTTTTTTTTTTTTTTTCTGTACAGCGTTGATATTGCTCGCCTTGAAATCCTTGAGTTTGTTAATCCAAATTTCGTTATTAAAGGCTTACAAAATATGAAATAAATAATAAAACAAATTAAAATTTAAAATTCGTTGGCTTCCACAGTACTAATATTCGGGTGGAGGACTACGTCATTCAAAATCTGATGGCTCTAGGTACCGTTGTTTTTTCACAATGTGAGAAATATACATACATTTATGCAGATTTTTCATTAATTAATTTCTTCAAATATGATGCAGGACTCTAACATTTGGTGGTAACAGTTTGAAAAGAGAAACCAATGCATAATCGCAAAAAGAGATATAGTGAACCAATGCAAAATCGCAAAACGAACACATTAGTCCTTCAGGGACAAAGCCCTTTTGGACTAAAAATTTGAAAGCTTTCCGACTTTTTTATTACACCCAAAGAGACTTTTTTTTTTCATTTAGACACACACACACGTTTCGAAAGCATTTTGGCTAATGTCACTTTTGGTTAAAAATATTTAAAAGCAGCATATTTTTGGAATTCCCGATAGGCACTCTTGCGAACTGGAGATAAAAATGTATTTTCTCCCCGTAAAATGTTGTCATTGTTTGCTTTGAAATCGTTCTGTTCGTTAATAAAAATCGTTAACGTTTTACAAAATATGAAACAGACAATAAATTAAAATTTGGGTTTGCAGGTGCCCATATTCACAGTGAAGGACTATGCCATTCAAAATTTATTTGATTTAGCTTTTTCATTACTTTTAACAATGTCAGAAACCTGCATATATTCATGCAGATTCCTCATTATTTAATTTCTTTAAATATAATACAGGGCAACAATATTCAGTGGCAATATTTCAGTGTTCAATTCGAAAGGCCAAACGGGTATTTTATATTGAACAGACGTAAAATGACGTTTTGAGACTCATAGCCTTTTCTTACTAAAGCCCTTTTGGACTAAAAAAAAAAGGATAGCACACCCAAATTAACATAAATATAGCTGAGAAATCTGAATGAAAGAAAAACGTGCTCCACATTTCCAAATTCGTATTTAATTTGTACAGAATTTTAAAATTTTTCGAAGCAATGAATCTGAAAAATTCCGCTGGATTTCTCGACTACGTGACGATGTGCTACGATAAGATGCTTTTGTGCACTGAAAAATAAAATCCTCTAAAACATTTTTCTTCGTTTCAAGACCTATAAATGTTGTTGTGACTTACCTCACTTATTTGACAGTAACATCAGAATAAGCCCACGTAATTCATTGTGGCAACGAGAGCAAGACTGGACTGCGACTATCGTTGGCTACAGCCTTGAGTACAGGTGACACGACGACTTCACTCAGTTCAGTTCCAATTTTGATGAAGAGCACCCTTGGGTTATAGGCTCAACGGACTCTCACTATTCTTCCTCTACCATCAACTTCTCGAAAGAACTTTTGGTTCGCCATGTATTTAGAGTGCCCCCATGTCGCAAAGCCACTCTACATTTACAAACATCTAGGCATTCTTCAAGGTTCGAACCCGAGCCCTTTGTTATCGTAGTAGGCTACCCTAAGCACTACACCGTCTGGGCGGCAAGCCTATAAATTATTTGTCAGTACAGCAGTACGGATTGTTTCGTATTAGTACTGCTTAGAATTAAGCAATCTTATAAATATTTCATCAATAAATGTAGATATTAAATGCGAGGGAGATTCTTGGTACCAAATATTCAGATCATTTCCCGGTTTGAGATTATAAACTGTAAATCTAAGCTGTCTTGGGTAATTACTAGTCATTGTATCAGATGTAAGGTAATGGTAATATATTTCCCATATTAGTTAACATCGTGAGCTACCATAATCACAAGCCAATTTTATGCCAGTATTCAGGTTTCATAAAATACCAGCTATTAATCGTCTCCTTAAAGATATATGTTGCACACGTAAACATTCCGAAATATTCTCATCATTAATTACATGATTACAGTATTTCCGCCGTTGAAACTTTATAGCAAAAGGATTATTTTCTTAAATTACTATAATTAACAGAAATATTCTGAAACAAGTTTGATTATAGCTAGATAATGCATTGGAAACAGAAGTTAATCCTTGAGTATTGCTTAAAATAATTTTTTTATTTAGATAATTTATTCAAAAGCAATGTTTTGTATTGATATTCGGCAGAAGGTTCAGCAACTTATTTACTGTCTAATATTATTAAGTTTGATATACAGTTGATTTTCAGGCATTTAATTCATTTCTTTATTTAAAAGGTTACATTTTCTAACTTGTATTAGAATCGAAAAAAAGACTGGAAATACACAATCATAAGATCCCTTGACATCTGATGCCAACGATAAAAAAACGTGTTATTTCTAAACTATAAAACATATTGTAGCGTTTCTGGTATTTAAAATGTAGAGAACACTTGAAAAATCAGTGGATGGGAATTGTATGTATAAATGATACATTACCTAACTTACATGATACATTACATAATAATTAATGATACATTACATAAGCATATCAAATAATTGATATGCTTATGTAATATATCAGATCTTTTATCTTATACATGATCTTAGAATAGTTATATTTCAGGAAATGCTACCTCGCTCCTGTAGATTTCTTTTCGCTATCAATGCGTCAGGATATTGTGCATGGTAAAACGATGCATAATTTTTACCCATCTATAGAAGTATTATAGAAAAATTATAAATCATGAGAGGATTTAGTCTGATATCAAGTATAATTTCGACGCCTCTTTGTGCAAAATCTGTTCAAAAGGCAGAAATTTACTAAAGAAAGGCAACCGCTTTGGCTATTTCTAAGCATTTTCAATAACCATATATTGCAAAAAATGTTCATTAGTAACTAAATTTTACAAATTTATTCATAAATAAATATGATAAATTTCACTTGTATGTGCATCAGTTTATCACTTACAAATTGGTGAAACAAAATTTACAGCTAAGATACAATTTCGGATAAGAGTCGTACATGGAAACACTAAGACATAAAAGAAACTATTTGGGTGGAAAGAATTATTGTAAGCAAGAACACCTAAGCACAAAAAAAAACGTATATGTAGGAAAAAAATCTGAAAGCTTTCAGATTTTACGTTACGCGTAAAAGGGCGTTTTTTTAAGGTTTTGTGGGCTACCTTTATTTATTAAATATGATGTTCGTCGCAATTAAACCATAAGATTAATTTCAGCAGCAATATCGCAAAATAATTTTAAAGTAAGCATATCTTTATAATTTCCGATACACAGTTTTGCGCGCTGAAGATATTTTTTTTTTTTTTTTCGTACAGTGTTGCCCTTTTCGCTTTGAAATCGTTGAGTTTTTTAATCAAAAATTTGTTAAAGTTTTGATTCTTCATAATTTAATTTCTTTAAATGTAATACAGAGCTGTAATATTCGGCGGCAACAGTTTGAAACGTGAACAGGCATTTAAAGTTTTGAACGCAAAACGCTAAAACGAAATGAATAGCTCTTCTAGGCTAACGTCCTTTGGATTAATGCAGAGAAATTCATAAAAATTCATAAAAAACAAATAAAAAGTTTTTAATTCAGCATAATTTAAATTAAAATGATTTGCAAGTATGATATTGTTTTCGCATTGAAAGCATGAAATTCCGTTTGTTACCGATGGGAAACTTGTTGACTTTGTTACCTGATAGGAACATCATCCCACAGTCACTTTTTCCCTACCCCAATGGTGGAAACTAGTCGTTATAGATGTCGCCCACTACTAAGGCCAGAAATGGTGGTTACTTTATTATGGTGGGAGCTAATATGCGTGTCAGCGTTACCTCCTATCAAGGTACAAATAATTTACATCCACGCCTTCTCCGGAATCCTGGTCCCTTCGGTACTGTAGTCAGATTTATTAGCCACTTGCTCGTCTGGGTGATCTAATGGAGTCAATTTTTAACTCATCTGCTTAGTTTTATGAATATTTAAATCATTACGGATTTTTCAACTACCTGTATGAAATGGTAAATACAAGCATTCATTTAGGTTTAACACGCCAAGTAATGGTTATTGAAGAAATCAAACAACAATAATCAGACAAACAATAATAATATTTGTGAATTTTGCAGGACTGGTTTCCATGGTTTAACTAAAGAATCATCGAAACGGGTCCTGTAAAATTTATATATGTTTCTCTGATTCTTCTTGTTTGACTTCTCCAACCAGCATCCATTATTATTCATATAAAATATTGTTTTTGATAAAAAAATACTTTATTTCCAGATCGTCTTCATGTGCGCGCAGTTCCGCCTTCACAGATAGTAGATGTCGGTAAAACAGCTATTTTTACATGCAATGCCACTGGACACCCAGTACACATAATCAGTTGGAGGAAAGATATGGTGCCAGTGCTCTCTTCTCGTAGAATAACAGTCTCCAGAGAGGAGCTCCGTATCAGTCCTGTTGAGCGAGAAGACCGAGGGATGTATCAGTGCTTTGTCTATAATGATAAAGAATCCGCCCAAGACGCTGCACAGCTTGTGCTAGGTGGTAAGTGATAAACAAAGAATCAGTGATGTTTTGCGTTATTATTTATTGATTATTTTGGTTGCTGAACATGTGATTACATGATAAAATAGGATTTTATAAAATTTGTATCTTAATCATATATATATATTTGTGTGTGTGTGTGTGTATTATAATAAATGTTTAATACCATGAATCAATTTTTACCAATACCATGACTTTATTAGCTTTAGTTTAATTCCAAGCAACATTAGACAATACAATATTTCACTTTTAACAAAAGTCATACTATTTTCTTTTTCCACAAAATTTTGACTTCTGAATTTTTTGTCTTTGGCTATTTTGCTGTAGATTTGTGAAACTTATTTCGCGCATAATCATTCACATTACTTACAGTTATGTAGAGCAGAAATTCATAATTGTTATATTTTTGATTAGAAAATTATATAACATCTAAAGTTATTTTAGTTATATAAAACAAATTTTAATTAAATATTTTGTTTCGGAGTACATTAAGATGCACAATTTGAAGAGAAATTGGGGGGGGTGAGGCAGTTTTGTATCTTTCGTTCTACTGTGCAGATTGACGAAATTTAATTTGCTTTTATCGTGTCTCGAAAGTGCGAGAGAATATATATTAGATTTATATATAATATTGTTGTAAACATATGTATTTAGACATAAAGTTAACCTTTTATACAATTACATACCTATTTTACTTCATAATCGATTCTACTGCTCAAATTATCCCTAAATATAAATGTTTGTAAAATTTGGTGACATACTTACAGAGAAATTTAAAAATTTATCTTGGCGCACTTTGTTCAGGTCGTGCTAAAAATATTTCGCTTGACAAAATTCTCAGTTTATGGTAGCCTATTTTCATTTCCCTTTCTTTGTGTATGAACGGAAGAAATAATGCATCGTTCATTCTTTTAAATAATTTTAACAAAGGGCGTAAACCACATTTGGCATTACTATCGTTTACAACAAATATGACAAATTTCAAAACACGCCAATTTATAAATTCTCGTATATCTTGGGTAATTTTGAATAAAAAGCTGTAATTGTTTTGCAGGTAGACTAGAAATACATCTACCTTAAGGTGATAAAAAACCTTTGTAAGTTATAATTGAACAACGTTTCGAAAAATTCATAAAATTTATGAACATACAAATTTTGAAAGTAAATCCGAAAATGTCTGCGAATTTTATTCAAACTGAACTTAAATTTTGAATTGTGAAAGAAGTTTGATAAAAAAAAGTTTAGTAAAACACGAGATATTATAAATACATACAATATTCAATTAACATCTGGGAGCTAAGGCTTTGAATGCTAACGTTTTAAAAACTAGTCATGCGGTTTCTACAAAGCTTGGCACTATGGCACAAAGATCAGCACTTTGGCATAATTTGATTAGTAGAGTCGAAGTATGGAAAACCTCTGTATGTCATTGCAGAATATGAGTTTTATATGAAAATGCCTATGCTTGAACAATGTTATATATAAATTTATTATAAATGCATTTATAAAATTAGACACAGAAAACGCAAGTTAAATTTCATAATCGGCCCAGTAGGATGGAAGATATAGAGCTGAGTCCCCCCCTTATTTTTGTTTTGTGCAGACGAACTTATTAATCAGTATATTTATTTGGCTGCGTTTATGATAATTCATTTTTAGATATAGCATCAGTATATTTATTTGTATATATTGATTAAATACGCACAATCAGTATATTTATTTATATATACTGATTAAATACGAACTTTATCAATATATTTATTTATTTTCTCGGACGTGGCAAGTGATTGCTATTCCATTAAACCTCGGTTCGACTCCAAGGCACCATTTCTTTGTTTATGTGGCTTTTTTGACAAAAGAGAGATAAATTATGTTCACATGATAGTTCTATTTATAGGTTGTTAACAGATTAGGAATAATATAGAATCCCTGACCGCCGAGACTGACGTTGTCTTGGTTAAATTTAGAATTGAGCTGTGCTTATTTCAAATAATTATATTCCCAGAATAAAATTATACTGAAATGTTTCATTAGTGTTACTGCACAATTATTAGATTAATAATATTTCTTATTGTATTAGCTGCATAATCGATTTAACCTGCGTTTCCTTGCCATTTTCTATTTGCGGTAGCTAAGTTAATACACTTACCAAAAAATGCAGAATGCTGAAAATACTTAACTAATGCAAGTACATTTCACTGTACACGGAATCACAACTGATAAGAAAATAAGACTTCACTCTTTGCTTTTATGTTAAATTTGTGTGACTGTTTTGCGCAAAAGAAAAATTATGGTACTTAATATAAGGTTACGCAGTTTTAGACAAAACATTGGCTGAATTCTCAATTAAATTTTGTAGCACAAATTATAACTAACAACATTATTACCATAAGTAAATGTATTATATCTATGTACGATGCTTAATTGCATGTTAGCATTTCTAATTTATAACATCATAGTGAAATGGAAATTAAATTTGGTTTGGAGAGCAAGCATTATACCAAACATTAAACACGTAATTTCACTTTCATGACAATGTTTCACTGTTAGGAAAAAATAATTTAACTGTTAATTATCATGTAATTAATAATTATATTGCTACGTTTTTTTTCTGACACTAGTTGTTACATTATTTTCTTCCTTCGCGTTCGTATGGGGTTCGTAAATTTGGAGTGAATAACGACGGCACTTGATGAAGTAGCGAAACACACTTATTTACAATATCTCGGACAGTCCTTAAACCGTTTACACAGTCGTAGAAGAACTACAAGAAACACGCTGAAAAAATCAGCGACACAGCTTCGGTTATCAGCGTCACGGGGAAGATAGCTCACGTAAAGCAGATAAAGTTTCTGACTATGCCTCGTCGTTCTCGGAACTCCAGTACTCTCGACCTCACGCTCAACCGCGATGCACTCGACGTCAGACCAAAGCACAGCTCCTGAATCTTCGGTCAGTCGATCCTGGCGCTCACACGCTCTCTCGGATGCACTAACCGCCGAGACACTAAGAGATTCCTCTGTGCACTCGCGGACCCAACGGCCCTCGCTGCCCGGCTGCAACTGGAGCGACTCCGCAGTACTAACTCGGACCCCATGACTCAAACTAACTAATCGCACTCTGAAGAACCGCCATGATGAGATCACTCGCTAGACGAAGGTACACACTAATGACTGCGGCCGCAGGGTTTGGTTTAAGCTTGCGGGTTCGAGAAATTCTGGGCTAAAACCGGTAGATTCATTCCAGAGGTCTCCAGCCATCCATGCATATCGCCAATTTTGTCGCCAAATGGGCAATTTCTCGCCAAATGCGGCAACTTTGCGTTCCTATGCCATTTTATGGCAACCCTAAAACTTCTTTTTGGGGAAGCTATCTCACCGCACCTGTACATTTCGTAACAATATTATAAGTTATCATAATAAGGAATTGCAATCTCAAACTCAAATATTACATATTTCAAAGAAAGTGTTTTTCTTAAAGAATAAATAATGTAAGGAAATTTGTAAAACTTCCAGTATCAAAAATGCTTTTTATTGAAATATTTTATCAAAATTAAGGTGTTAGTTACAGGAACGAATGTGTCTTTGTGATAAGACTTAACAAAGAACAAGATTTCTTTCCCTTAAGCGATATTTCAGATCCTCTTTCTACTAAGAGCAAGCGGTAAAATGCGATAAGCTGTTTTAATTTGAAAGATTTCTTAATGCAGTATGAATCAAAAGTGAACTCAGGAAAAGCCGTATTGCTTCCAAAGTATTCGCTAGAAGTTTTCCCGTCAATCTTTCTCTAGTGCCGGGCTTTAACAACGGAAGTTTCAGAAAGATTTCCAGAATTACAGGGTTGTCAGAAATGATAATATGTCATTGATTCTCTTTCAGAAATTCTTGAGCTAGAATTGAATCATTGCATTGAATGATAACTGCTGCAATTTGTCGAGCAGATGGTCGATTTTGTCCGAGCTTTTAACAGGTCAGAAGGATAATGAGAGCTTTAAGAGAAACATTTGCTATTGATTTAGAAAATTATACATTTTAATGAAGAAATTTTAAATCGCTATATTAGAAACATTTGCTATGATTTAGAAATCATACATTTATGAAAATTTAAAAGAACGTAAATTCGTATGACTAATTAATGAAATGTGCGTAGTAATAATTTCCAAAAGAGATATCAGAAGAAATTTAAATATCTATATTTATATACATATTTTTCATTAAAATCGGCTATATGGTTCTTTTCTAATATCTATGTGTGTTTAACGGATAACTTCTACAAATTTCATTAGCATACCATTTAATGCACTAACACGAAATAGCTAACGGAAAAATGGATATCGGGGGGGGGGTCTGCACTGATGCATCAGGTTGCACAAATGCAAACACTTACTGATAGTGCTAAATACACGTAACACAAGTACATTAATGAGCACTGTGATTCAAAGAGTAAATTATATATTGTAAATAGATTGAGTTTGCTCATAATTCGACTTAGTTAAAACCTTAGCTATTAAGAAATCACATATACTTATCTATCACATAAACTATTTAATTTATTAATTTCTATCATTCTAGTACATAGTTTAAGAAAGAAAACTATAATTTTTGTTTCAAAGTCAGCAAAAAAACAATTATACAATTGTTTATAGTAAACCGGAGCACAATATTTTAGGAAATATAAATTCTTATTTTATTTAAGTTGGTTTATATTCATGTTTAACATTTGCTGCAAGTTACACAAGAATGGGTAGATAATAATTCACCAAAGAAAATCTCTGTTCCCAGCACTTTTTCTTATTAAACCACTAAATTTTATTATTTTGTAACATATAAAGTATGATTTATAGAAATTTTATGTTTAATTCAAGAGGCGTTTGTCGACGGCTATATATATTTTTAAATTTTATTTTCCAAAGTCTCTCGCACACAAAAAGACAAATAAAGCAAAACCACTATAGTGAAGGGATAGAGTTTACCATTGAAATGTTACCGCCAGGCCCACCA